GACAGTGTTTCTCTGCCATTCATAAGGTTTTCAGTGACCAAATATTCAGAAGTAGTTCTTCACTTTTTCTTCCTTGTCTGCCTTTGTCTGGAAGCACATCTGATACCTGTCCGCCATGGGTGACCCGGCTGGTATTTAAAATACCGGTGGCATAGCTTTCAGAATCACAGCAACTCACAAGCCACCACAGTACGACAAACTGACAGACGAGTGGTGGTCATTTGGATTTAAGTGGAAACTGTCACTTTAAATTTTGAGATCTGTGCTCATGCAGAGTAGAACCCTCTAGGGGTGGGTGTGGGGTGTACATTCACTCAGGCATCCCCTCCAGTCACCAGAATGGAGGTGCGTAGACAGCGAGAGACCAATGAACAGATGCCAAAAAAAGAATATTCACACCTGTATTTCTGGATTCTGTCAGGTGTTTGTGGCTGTTCTTGTCCTTCCCTCACTTGGTCTCTCCCAAGATGGTGGCTCTGGGAGTGGCTGAGCATCTTGAATTAGAAAGCAGTGGATTTCTTGTTTCTGCTACAAATTCCCCTAGCTGTAAGCCTTCCAATATTCTACATATTCCTTTATATGTGGTTCAGAGTTCTAATGCCATCCCCTGAGCCTGCTTGGTCCAGTATTCTGTGTTGTTGGTGATGGAGATCTTCACTGCATGTCTACCCAATCCGCCATTTTGTGAAATTTCCAATTCACAGTTCAATACTCATTTCTCTGGAAAGCCATTTTTTAGGGTCCTGGTGGCATTTCATAAATGTATGAAACACTGTCTGGTCCTGTGCCATCCTCATAATCCTTGCTATGCCTGGGCCCATTGTTGCAGCTACTGTATCAATCCATGTTGTTGAAGGTCTTCCTGACCCTCTACTTTATCAAGCATGATGTCCTTCTTTAGGGACTGTCCCTCTTGATGACACGTTCAACATATGTGAGACAAAGTCTCACTATCCTGGCTCCCACAGAGCTTTCTGGCTGCACCTCTTCCAAGACAGATTTGTTTATTCTTTCAATTTTCTTATTCAACACCATAATTCAAATGCAGCAATTCCTCTATAATCTTTTTTATTCCTATTCTAGATTTCACATGCATGTGAGATGACTGAAAAAAACATAGCTTGGGTATTAGTCAACTGAATGTACAATAATTATGCCTCTGTCTCTCCATGTCAACTATGAGGGTTTTGTTTTTTTTATATGAACTACAATGTATTTATTTCAATATTCCTGGAGCCTGGTAATGTGACTGAGCAGCACATCATGCTTTTTAAAGTAGAGAGGATCCGTGGAAAAGAAGAAGACCCTCAATGAGATGGATTGACACAGTGACTGCAACAATGGGCTCAAACATAACTAGGATTTTGAGGATGTGTCCAGACCAGGCAGCGTTCTGTTCTGTAATACATAGGATCTCTGTGAGTTGGAATAGATTCAAGGGCACCTAACAACAATATCAGTGCTGTATCAGGCATAGTAAACAAATTATTTAATTGATCATGGTGAACAGTTCTTAATCACATTCCAAAGGGTCATGGAACGCAAATGATGGAAGCCACCTGCAAGTAATCAATAACAGGAGGGAGCATTGAGTGTTATGCAAATTTGCCAAGAGCCATAGAGCCATGGGGTCATCGGCACTTGAAGCATCTGGTTTTTAATTCAGTACCGGCTTCTGGCACATCACTAAAAATTAATTCAAGTTAAGTAAAATCTCCAAAACTATAAGATACTAGGACCCAAGATAGTTCATCATGTCAACTTCTCTGCTAGAGGCAAACACAGAGATATGTTGTTGTTGTTAAGTGCTGTGGAGTTGGTTCTGACTCATAGTGACCCTATATATGATTTCCAAATAGCAGCTGGTGGGTTTGAACTGCAGACCTTGTGGTTAGCAGTCTGGTGCTTATTCTACAGGGTCACACCAGGACTCCAATTCACAATAAAAATTTAAAACAAAGCAATAGTAAAATACTGCCTGACTTATGCTGGTTATTTTCACCTTACCATCTTAACACACATTCCAAAATTGATTCAATTTTTTTTAATTGATTCAATTTTTATTGTTCTTTTCAGATAACTTCTCGCATTGGTTGTTGTTAGGTGCCGCCATGAAGTTGGTCCTGATTCATAGCAACCCTATGTACAACAGACATCAATTCATTTCACAGGGGGCCTTCCTTTTTCTCACCAACCTCTACTTTACCCTTCTCTGGGATTGGTGCTTCCTGAGAACATGCCCAAAGTACGTGAGACAAAGTCTTCTTCACTTCTAAGGAGCATTCTGGCTGTACTTCTTCCAACACAGATTTGTTCATTCTTTGACAACCCATGGTCTATTAAATATTCTTCACCAACACTATAATTCAAATGCAAATAATGTTCTTCAATCTTCCTTATTCATTGTCCAGCTTCCACATGCATATGAGGTGAATGAAAATACCATGGCTTGATTCAGATGCACATTAGTCCTCAAAGTCAAGTTTTTACTTGTTAAAACCTACAGCTGTCTTTTGCAGCTGATTTTTTCCAATTAGGTCAATGTTATTATTATCCCTATTATACAGATAAGAAAACTGAGGCCCAAAGAGGTCCACCAACTAGATCATGCAGATTGTAGGGGGAAGAGATGGCTTATGAACCCAGGAAGTCTGGCTACAGAGTCTGCCCCTCAGCCACCGCACCTTACTGGTAGCAGTAATCTTTATCTATCCCACATAATGAGAAGACTTGGATCCAGAACATTCCTGATAATGGAGGCTAGGAACTGAGCCTCTCTCCCTCTGTGCTAGTTTCCTTCATCATGGAGACTTTATCTTGTGTTAAGACCAATAAGTTGTTCTTTATATTGTTATAAATATATAATCAGTTGGCAATTGGTCAACCCCACTATGATGCCTGTCCTTGGCAGGGAAGGAATGAGGTAACTCACCTGCAACAAAGAGACGTGTGTGCAGAATATCAGCTCTGCATCTGCTATGGGGAATGACTTGCTTGTCATGGAGCACCAGCACCTTCTACTGAAGATAGCCTCCTTCTGCCTCTTCTTGATTAAGTCATGTTCCATATACTCTGTGTGTGTGTGCCATGCTTCTGTTAGCAATCTTTGACTTTGACTCAACACTGCCTCTTCCCATGTATGTGCACATGCCCATGTACATACACACACAAGTACACACATGCTGCTAATACCAAGTCCCTCCCTTGACCAACAACTGCAGCTCACAGCCTTCAGAGTTCTCTGCTGCAGCCATCCAAGCTGATTTCTCTGTAGTACATGTCTTATTTCTCCGTAACAAATTATTGTAACTCTGAGTGGCTTCAACAATGCTTTCAATATCTCAGTTTCTGTGAGTCAGGACTTTAGAAGTGGCTTAGCTAGGTGTAGGGAAAGCTGATGGCACAGTGGTTTAAGAATTTGACTGCTAACTACTTGAACCCACCAGCTACTCTGTAAAGATTTACAGCCTTGGAAAGCCTATGGGGCATCTCTATCTGCCCTACAGGGTCACTATGAGTTGGAATACACTCAACAGCAGTGGGTTTGGTTGACAAGGTGGTTCTGACTTGGGGTGTCTTGGGCAGTGTAGTCAAGACATTAGTTGGGCTGCAATCAACTGTAGACTTGACTAGGCTAGATAACTACTTCAAAGGTAGGTGGCTGATATGGCTGGCAAGATATGACTAATTTTTGGCAAAAGGCCTCAATTCCTTGCTATGAGGCTACTTAAGTGCACTGACAAAATGGCGGCCGACTTTCTAGTGTAATTCAAGAGGAAGCCAGGTGAAAACTACATTATCTTTTATGACTTAGCCTTGGAAGCCACACATCATTGTTTCCACAATATCCTGTTGGTTTCCAAGGTCAGCTCTATTCAGATGGGAAGAGACTACACAAGGGCATGAATACCAGGAAGAAATAATCATTGGGGTCACAGCCTACAACCACAAAGTTTCCCTACTTAAAGGAATGCTAGGGAGCACAAAGGTTTGATGCCAAGAAGGCCCAGCAGATATTAGGTGCTGAAGAAAAGTTCAGCTTCCTTTCACTTCCCTTTTTTCTCCCAGGATGGAAACATATGACCAAAGGTCACTGCTGCTCAGACCTAAGCACTATTTTCTCTTAATTGTCATATTCTGTGATTCACAAAATCTTATTGTTTTCTCCATTCCCTCCAGTTCTCATCTCTTTCCTGGATTCTATACATCTTACTCTACCTGAAGTGTTGTTCCAGTAATCTCTTGTGAAATAACACACCACCCAAAAATAATGGATAATAATGCTCCTGTTGTTGGTTTGTTGGTTTGTTTTGATAAACCTGGAGTTGATTGGGGATAGGTAGGAAGTTGTTGCTTGGGGACTTTCATGTGGTTTCAAATAGACTGGAGTTGGGGTCACCTGAGCACTCTCTTACATGTCTGTGCCTTAGTTGGAAAGATTCATATATCAGGGGCCTGGAATCCCTGAGGTTCTTCAGACATTTCTGTCTCTCTAGATAAATGGACAACAATAGAGGGTAGATAGATATGTCACTGTGGGATAATGCACTGGACTGAAAAGTTCATTTGAACTGCAAGGTTGGCAGTTCAAATTCACCAGTCACTTCTTGGAAGCCCTATGCATGATCGCTATGGGTTAGAACTGACTCGACAGCACTTAAGAACAACAATGATACATAGCTATAGATGATAGATGAGTAGATAGGTAAATAGGTTGGTAGGTAGGCAGACAGGCAGACAAACAAACCACAAATAGATAATGTTGTAAATGGAATTGACACATCTGATGCTGATTTAATCACCGTTATAATGTGACATAACATATAATAGTGCAAGTGGGCACTATGAAAGTTATAAAGAATGTGCAGACTCTCTAATCACTCATCAAGTGCAGTAGGTTCTGCCCATCTTCATTTCTGGGTTATAGTCACAGAGTCAATTGAGGTCCCTCACTGAAAAACAGCTTCCTTGAAGAACAAAGTTGAAGTCCTTAGGGAAAGTCAGGCTCCATTTACGGTTCCATCTCTTGATTCAAACATTATAACAACAGGTACTTCTGGTGCAATAAGTGGGTCCTTGCCTATTTTTAATGGAATCTGCAACAATGAAACAAACATATTGAGAACCAATAAATGATGCATCAACAACAACTAAAGAAAGTCAACAAGGTAAGAACAGTACTGCTCTACAAACATACAAGCATTACTTTTGTTATCACGTGCCTTTTTTGTTTTTAACACCAATTAGATTAGCTGTAGGAAAGACCATACTCGTAACTCCATTCATTCAACTAAATATTTATGAACAAAACCAAGTTGTTTTGTGTTCTTTTTAATTTAAATTAGGAGTAAAACTAAAAAGCTTTCCATTTTTACACTATATTTTGAAACTATTATTTCAAACTATTCTTGAAAAGCCATACAAAATTAATTTTGTGTGTGCTAAAACTCGTGAGGTCAACATAAGTCAACATTATACACTTTAATTGTCTGGACAGTCCCTGACTTCCCAAGAGTCCAGCCACACCTCCTTTGGAGTTTAGTTTAATGATGAGAAGAGGGCTTCAGGCACATTATGCCTTTGTTTTCTAACATCTCCTTGGTTGCCGAATGTAATGTAAATGTTGGACTTCTGATGATGTACAAGTAGTTGAAGTTCCTTGATGCATTGTCATTCTAGTGTTGTTGAAACAAACACTATAAAATTCTGATCTTAGATGAGTAAAGGGCAAGTAAATTGTGGAGATGGGTGAATAGTATTGACAAGAAGATGGCCAGAGAAAATACTGGCCCATTGCAGGTGTGCCAGAGGTCTGCTTTCTCTCATGGCTTAGCCTCCTGATTGTAAACACCTACACGGGACTGCTACACAGCTGTCCTAAGCCAAAATTAGATGGAAACTATCTCAACATCTCCCTTGCAGCATTATTATTAGGTGGTCAAAGGAGCCTAGCTTGTCAGGGATCCTGGAATCAGGGCGCCTGGAAAAGAAGGTGAAGTACAGAGGATGGCCGTGGATTGTGGGAATATTTCACATCTAGCTTCATTTGAATCAGTGGTCCTCAACCTTGGCCACACAGCAGAACCAATGGGTGAGCTTTTAAAGCCACATCAGGCTAACGCTATTAGAATTTCTGAGATGATCCAGACATCAGGAATGTTTACGCTCCCTAGTGACTTCAACATGCAGGTTGTGATTGAAAACTACTGTCACCATGGAGATTCTGAAAGTCGTTCTGGAGGGTAGTATCACTCAAAAGTAACAACTTTGGGGTCATCACTGCACTACATTAGTAGATACAGTACTTCTTCATCCTTCCAGTTTACTTGAAAGATCATTTAAAACTTTACCGTCATTCAAATGGACTGCATGTAATACTATTATCACTTATCTGTATTGACTCTAAATGATCTTTATAGTTTGGTCTTTGTTCAGCCACACACTTCAAACTCCAGAATTGGAAGGCATGGAAGTTCATATTGTTGCTGTTAGGTGCCATCAAGTCTTTGCTGACTCATAACAATCTTATGCACAGCAGAACAAAACACTGCCCAATCCTGGGCCAACCTCACTATTTTTGCCACACTTGAGCCCATTGATGCTGCCACTTGGAAAATCCATCTTGCTGTGGGTTTTCCTCTTTTCTCTGACCCTCCACCCTACCAAGCTTGATATCCTTCTCCAGCGACTGGACCCTCAGAACAATATGTCCAAAGCATGAGAGACGAAGTTTGGTCATCTTGGCCTCCAAGGAGCACTCTGGCTGCACTTCTTCCAAAACGGATCTATTGGTTCTTTTGGCAGCCCATAGCACTTTCAATATTCTTCTCCAACACCATAACTTAAAAGCATCAATTCTTCTATGGTCTTCCTTATTTACTATCCAACTTTCACATACATATGAGGTTATTGAAAATACCATGGCTTGGGTCAGGCACAACTTAGTCCTCAAGCTGACATCTTTGTTTTTCAACACTTTAAAAAGGTCTTTTGCAGCAGATTTGCCTAATGTAATACGTCCTTTGATTTCTTGACTGCTGCTTCCTGAGTGTTGATAGTTGATCCAAGAAGAATGAAGTCCTTAACAATTTCATTTTTTTCTCCATTGATAAGAATGTTATTTATTCGTCCAGTGGTAAGGTTTATTGTTTTCTTTACCTTGACATGCAATCCATACCGAAGGCTGTGCTCTTTGATCTTCATCAGTAAATATTTTAAGTCCTCTTCACTTTCAGCAAGCAAGGTTGTATCATCTACATATCGCAGATTGTTAATGAGTCTTCCTCCAATCCTGATGCCATGTTTTTCTTCATAGAACCCAGCTTCTCGGATTATTTGCTCAGAATACAGGTTGGATAAGTATGGTGAAAGAATACAACCTTGTCGCACACCTTTCTGAATTTTAAACCATTCAGAGTTCCCATGTTCTGTTCGAACAACTACCTCTTGGTCCATGTACAGATTCCTCATGAGCACAATTAAGTGTCCCAGAATACTCATACTTCACAATATTGTCCATAGCTTGTCATGATCCACACAAACAAAAGCCTTTGAGTAGTCAATAAAGCACAGGTAAACATCTTCTTGATAGTCTCTGCTTTCAGCCAAGATCCATTGGACATCAGCAATGATATCCCTCATTCCACGGCCTCTTCTAAATCCAACTTGAACCTCTGGAAGTTCTCTGTCAATGTATGCTTGCAGCCATTTCTGTATTACCTTTAGTAAAACTTTACTCCCATGGGATATCAAAGAGATTTTCCGATGATTTATGCATTCCAGTGGGTCACTTCTCCTTGGAATGGGCACAAATACAGATCTATCATTCGTCTGTCAGTTTGTCATACTGTGGTGGCTTGTGAAGTTGCTGTGATTCTGGAAGCTTTGCCTCCAGTATTTTAAATACCAGCAGGGTCACCCATGGTGGACAGGGTTCAGATGAGCTTCCAGACGAAGACAGACTAGGAAGAAGGCGTGATGAACTACTTCCGAACATTTAGTCACTGAAAACCTTATGAATGGAAGTTCATAGATACTTTCAAATTGATTATATGGTCAGAAGAACAACTTATTAAAAACATTTTTTTTGTATATAGCTCTTTCAGTTTAAAACACTCCCAATAAAAAATATTATTTATGCTGAGAACTTACCTGTGTTTCTTTGCAAGGTTTAACAGAGAACTCCTGAAGAATTCTGACGGTAGCAAGTTTCATGTTCATGAGGGCAAACCTCATACCAATGCAATTTCGAGGTCCAGTTCCAAAGGGCATGTATATATAAGGATCTATGTTGTCCTTGTTCTCTTTACTGAACCTGAATCCACAACAGTAAGTGTAAGCAAGTCAATGAAGCATAAACTCTACAAAAGTCAGATGTTTCATATTCTCACTTAGAACTCTCTGACAATAGTATACAAGATAGTTTCATGATCTAGCCATTGAAATCATACTATGTTTTTTGCTTTTTGCTTTGCTGTAATAATTCTAAGTAACAGATACTTTTCATTCACCTTACCCTATAGGAGCTTTCCATTTTATTATGAAGATGATATTAATGCTACTTTAAAAAATGTATTTTTTTAAATTACAATTACACCCAAGGTGGTGACATTTTAACACTATAAAGGCACTTGGTTCAAATACAACTTACTGAAGGAAAACTAGATTTCACTGTGTTCCTTATAGATTCATTCAAGGAGAAAGAAGAAGAAAATGCCCCCCACTATTATTTTCCCTTCTCTTTTTTCTCCTTTCCTCTTCTCTCTTTTGTTTCTCTTTTCTTTATTTCCCCCCCCCCTTTTTTTTTTGCTTCTCCTCCTCCTTTCCATCTTTTTTACCCCTTCTCCTTCTCATACTCTCCTTCCCCTACCTTCTCCACGTCCTCTTCCTTATTTTCTTCTTTCTCTCATAGACTAGAATACTTAAAGTCACAATTTACGCAGGAATATAATGCTACTTTACTAAAGTATAGTTACTGATTTCCTTTTCTACTTGCTCCCCTAGGCTATAACTTCTGTGATGGTTTGTTGTTGTTGTTGCTGTTAGGTGCCATCTCATAACGACCTTATGCACAACAGAATGAAACACTGTGCAGTCCTGTAACAATCTCATAATCTTTGCTACTCTTGAGCCCGTTGCTGTTGCCACTGTGCAAGTCCATCTTGTTGGGTATCTTTCTCTTTTTTGCCGACCTTCCACTTTACCAAGCACAATGTCCTTCTTCAGAGACTGGTACCGTCTCATAATATGTCCTAAGTATGAGAAATGAAGTCCAGCCATTCTGGCTTCTAAGGAGCATTCTGGATGTACTTCTTCCAATACAGATCTGTTTGTTCTTCTAACAGTTCATGGTACCTTTAATATTCCCCTCCAATACCATAACTCAAATGCATCATACAAGTAGAAAGATATATAAACAAATGATTGTACAGCCACAGGTTTGTAATCTACACTAAGAAATGTCAGAATGTGGTCAAACCATTCTGCATCAGAGGGAGTTCCCTTTCCCAAGAATCCTGTACCTTTCAGGGAGGAATTTCTCAGGCTCTGGCCAATATTCTGGGTCTCGGTGAAGGACAAAGGTTGGCACCATAATCACTGACCCTTTAGGCATGGTCAATCCATTGATTTCAACATGTTTTTTACAGACCCTCTCAAGTCTTCCAGCTATTGGGTATAATCTGAGTGTTTCATTCAACACCATATCAAGATACTCCATCTGAAGTACTGCATCATATGTGGGAGTTGCCTAGGAAGAAAGAGACAGAGATTCATAAGTTGGTTCAACATAGTCTAGGCAGCACTATTGAAGTATCAGGGTCTCCAAAGAACGACTTACATTGGCAAAGGTCCTTGACATTCATCAATCATTTTTATATCTAATCATATTCCCTTAATCTTCCCAATGATACACTGAGATATCTGAAGCAGTTATGAATACGGGAGACCCCTGAGGGAAACCCTCCTTCATCTTCCCTCTGCATGCACCACGCACTCACCTTATTGGGTAAAATGTCATCAATCTCCTTCTGCAATTTCTCCTGGATCTCAGGGTGGGTGGCCAAGAGATACATGATGAAGGAAAGAGCAGTGCTGGTGGTCTCATAGCCAGCAAAAATAAAGATAATGGATTGAGCCACAAGCTCCAAATCAGTCAAAGCTGAAGGGAGAGAAAAGATACTTAAGTTAGGGTTGAAACTATCACAGTTTAAATGAGGAGAAATCCCAAACTATCCAGGGGAGGGTTAAAAATGGAAAAAAAAATCAGAGTAGTTTGCATTCTGATAACTATCTTGCAGAGCTAGAAAAAGAAACAAATGGTTTTAACCTGCTTTTCCCAGATTATAGTATAACTAATGGAGTCCTGGTGTGGCATTGTGAGATAAAGCACTGGACTGCAAGGTCAGTTTATTACCACAAGGTCAGTGGTTCAAATTCACAGCTGATCCTTGGAAACCCTATATAGGGTCATTATGAGTCAGAACTGACTCGACATCACTTAGCAACAACAATTCTTGTAATGAGCTCAAACATAACAAAAATTCTGAGGATGGCACAGGACCAGGCAGTGTTTCATTTGGTTGTACATAAAGTTGCTAGTTGTTATGAGTCACAACCAACTCAGTGGCACCTAACAACAATAACAACATACTATTCTTGACCTTCTATTCTGGCTTATACTATCGTCACCACCAACACAGCTGGGTAATGTCAAGAGAAGGTGCTTCTATCTAATGTATAAAATGTTGTTTCTATTAGATGTACCCTTGGTACATCATTGTTGTTGTGAAGTGCCGCCCAGTCTGATTAATAGCAACCCTGTATAGGGTTTCTGATAAGCCACTGGTTGGCATGAACCATGAATTTTGCATTTAGCAGTCCAGTGTTTATCCTACAGAGCCAATTAGTTGCAAGTAAAATATTGGGAGGCATCCTCCACCAAGAAAAGCTTGAATTATTCTAGCTAAAATATTGCTCAATTTTTTTTTTTTTTTTAAGAGTTGGAAATACTATAGTTTCTTTGTAGGGGAAGATTAAAGGAACTTTCATCTAAACACATTTAGGAAAACTTAAGGGACTAGAATCAGGCTACAAATAATCTCTTGCTATTCAAGAGTGTGGTCCATACACCAGCACCAGTATTAGGTGGGATCATTTTGGTAGCTCTCAGACTTTGGTTTCTAAATACCTAGGTTTCTAAATGAGGGCTCCTTGGAGAAATGACTGCTTTTCAAGGTTAATCAGGTAAAACAGAAGAGAAATCTAGAATATTTTATGCCAGAAAGGAAGGATGCACTCAGAAAATGATAGGCATGTGGAAAGGACACAAAAGAGTTTCCAGAACAAACCTGAGACAGTTTGAGCAACAAAATAAATCCTGATAGTGTGGGGCTGTCTGGCCTACAAATCACTAGGTCACCAGTTCAAGCCCACCAACTACTCCTTGGAAACCCTGTACAAGGTTGCTCTGAGTCAGAACCAACTCGACAACAATGAACATATAAGTCCATGGAGTCCTGATGTGGCACTGTAGGATAAGAACTTGCCTACAAGATTGGTTTGAACCGCAAGGTCAATGATTCAAACCCACCAGCCGTTCCTCAGAAATTCTATACAGGGTCACTATGAGTCAGAAATGACTCAACAGCACTTAACAGCAAACAACAGCCTGATTCCATACATATATAAATAAATAAATGAGAGCAAATGTAAAGTTCTCCCTCACAGTGAAATACCAACTCATACATGCAGAAAGAAGGGTAAAAATAAAAACCCATCATTTTGCAACCATCAAGCTAATAATTGCTTCTGTTGATAATCAATAAATAATAAAACTACTATGTGAACCTTGGAAGAGGAACAAGATAATTATGAGGTCTCTGACAAATTACTTGAGTTGTTGTTCTCACATGCCATCGAGTCAGTTCTGACTCATAGCGACCCTGTGTAGGGTTCCCAAGGAGTGGCTGGTGAGTTTGAACCACCGACCTTGTGGTTCAAGCTGACCATGGGGTCCAGTGCTTCTCCTACAGCACTAACCAGGATATTAATGACAAATTACACTTTATAGTAGATATGCTAAAGAACACAGCTTTAACCAAGATTTCAATATTGGGACAATGTGCTTCCTGGTGTGATGACTTGAATGAAATTTCCAGGCAGGAGTTCTGACTTGGGAGTTCTGGGAATAGCCCAGAAGTCCCAAGGTTCCCAACAGAGGAGAATATGGACTGTCTCCTGTGTACAAAATGCTTCTTCTATGGTTGTCCTTTAAGTTTTGACCACCATTGTGTCCCTCTGACTATCATTTGTGATTTCTGAATGTGGCTTTATTTCATTGGGCAGGAATTCTCATGTTCCTGGAAAAACATCCTGCATACTTGAGAACAAATTCCTTCCTTTGAGCTCCCCTCTCCCATTGGTACCCCTGTGGATCACTCCTTGGTTACCTTTATGGGAATCAATTTCTTTGATGTTCTGGGAGTCGATCATCAGCTGAAGAAAATCCACACGGTGCTGGAAGCAGAGAGAGGAATTTTAATGACACAAAATGCAATGCTTGTCTTTTGCCCTTTATGTCCATGAGGTTGGACTGGTGTTGCCTGAGTTTCTGGTGAACAGAAACTTCAACTTGTGTATGTTGGAGAAAGAGATGTCTCTCTGGGAAAAATTCAGCTAAAGTATCTCCCTGCCTTGGGGTCCTTGCCTTTCCTGTTCTTGGCTATCTTGACTTTTGAACACAACATCCTGGGCAAAGAGGTGCCTTCTCTTCTTTCTCAAGATAAAAGCCCTAATCTTAGTCTTTTTGATCTTCTGCTTTAATTTCATACCTTCACTGAGCCTTACCTATCTTCTTCTTAACTATTGACCACACAGATTAAACTCTGACACTTCCAGACTTCATCTGCTTCCTTTTATGAATGTCTTCTAATATTCTTCCTGCCCAGAACGTTGTACAATCATCAGTGACCCCTGGGGTACCCAGACCTGTTGCTCTCACCTACATTATTGTGTTGGTCTCTATGCTTCATGAAGACAAAACTAAGTCAGTCATCTTGCTGCCTTAATGACCAGAGAAGAACCTTACTCTCTTCAGACTATGAGAGGGCAGAAATTTAACATGAGTAATGTTCCACCTAGAGTCCTGGTGTGGCACTGTAGTCTAATGTGTCAGACTGCAAAGTCGTTTGAACTGCAAGGTCCGTGGTTCAAGCTCACTAGCTGTTTCTTGGAAACCCTATACAGGGTCGCTATGGGTCGGAATCAACTCAACAGCACTTAACAACAATGTTCCACCTGGTGTGGCACTGTAGGATCAAACCAACTCAACAGCACTTAACAATAACAACAATGTTCCATCAGGTAACCTGAGGTGCCTTCTTGGAGAATATGTAAAACCTGAGGCTTGGAATTGAAAAGAATGTTTACCAATCAATATATGGAGCAATTATAATAGTAAATCAATATTTGAACAACAATTTGATCATTTGACAATATATTGAAGAGAAGGGAAATAGGAAACGTTCTACCTCAGCAATACAAGGGTTCTTCAAAATGTTTGTGACAAAATGGAATTAAAAGAAAATGGAGAGAACAAACAAGATGGCAGAGAGAGTAACAGAGCAGTGAGGAGCTCTGCAGGCAACAACACAGAATACCACACGAAGCAGGCTCAGGAGATGGTACCAGAACTCTGAACCACATATAAAGGAATAGGGGAATTTGTAGGAGAAGTAAGAAATCCATTGCTTTCTAGTCCAAAATGCTCAGCTGCTCCTGGAGCTACCATCTTGGATGAGACCAAGCTGGGGAAGGATCAGAGCAGCATAGACACCTGACAGAACCACAGAGATAAAATTATAGACACTCTTTTTTTTTTTTTTAATCTGTTCATTGGTCTCTTGCTGGAGGTGCTGGAGCAAGTGGACATCCCACCCTCACCCCTGGAGGGTAACTACACATGCACACAGATCTCCTCAAAATTTAAAGTGACAGTTTACATTTAAAACCAAACGGCAGTACAAAACGGCCACAGCCAGCCCTGAACTGATTATCACTGGAAAAAAAGTCTGAACGGGGATTGTGGAGCAGGAGAGACAGACTAAAAAGAAAATATGCTGAAAATTAAATCCTGAGTTACATCACAATGACCAACAGTGGCATCTTGAAATTTCTCAGGCAGAAGAGTGAAAAGGGAAGCCCATATCCTGATCACATAAAAAATACCAAAATACACTCCTGAATATGCCCCAAAAAACAGAAAAAGATGACCATATCAGCACATGTCCAGAAACGAGATAAAGTGACTGAGGCAAGTGAGCTGGAAGTAGATCTACACTGCATACTGGAAGATGGGCAGGCTTTGGAAATGCCAGAGAAGGAATTCAGAAAAATGATTATAAAATGTATCAAAACACTATACAATGGAGTTGAGAAAAATAAGGAAGAAGTCAGG